ATAAGGAGGATGGCACAGGATAGGACAGGGTTCAGATCTGTTGTTCACATGGTCACTGTGAGTCACACTTGACTCAAAGGCACCTAACAACAACAGCATAGCCCCCAGGGGAGGTGTCAGATCCACTGATGGAAGCTAGGAGGAGGCAGGTGTGGGTTCAGTGGGACTATTGGGATGAAGCACGATCAAGTGTTCTGGGATTTCCATTCTTCTCAGAGTCAGCCACAGTTTGTTAAGGTCCACACAGTCAAATGCTTTTGCATAATCAATGAAACACAGATAGACATTCCTCTGGTACTCTCTGCTTTTAGCCAAGATCCATCTCACATCAGCTACAATATCCCTAGTACCACGACCCCTTCTAAACCCAGCCTGGACTTCTGGCAGTTCTCTGCTGATGTGCTGTTCCAGTCATTTTTGGATAATCTTCAGCAGAATCTTTCTTGCATGTGAAGTCAATGATATTGTTCTGTAGTTTCCACACTCTGTTGGGTCACCTTTCTTTGGAATGGGAACAAATATAGATCTCTTCCAGTCAGTTGGCCAAGTGGTTGTTTTCCAGATTTCTTGGCACAACTTGGTGAGCACATCCAGGGCAGCATCTGTTAGATGAAATATGTCTATTGCTATATCATCTACTCTTGGGGCTTTATTTTTTGCTACTTCCTTCAAAGCAGCTTGAACTTCTTCCTTCATCACCATAGGCTCTTGCTCATATGTTGTTTTATTAAATTCTTCTGTGTCTGCCAATTCCTTTCTATACAATGACTCAGTATATTCTTTCCAACTTCTTTTGCTACCTCCTGGATTGTTTAATACTCTGCCTAAAGCATCCTTGATTATTGCAACTCGAGGTTTGAATTTGTTCTACTCCAGCTCCTCGCACATTTCATTGTAATATTTTGCTTTGTTATCCCGTGCTGCCTTTTGAAATCTTCTGTTCAGCTCTTTAGTATCTTGAATTCTTCCTTGTGCTTTGGCTTCTCTGCACTCCAGTGCAATATTGAGTTTCTTCTGACATCCATTTTGGTCTTTTCTTTCTCTTCTGTCTTTGTAATGAACGTTTCCAGTCTTCTTGGGATGATACCCTTGATATCCTCCCATCTGGTCTTCGAAACCTATACTTAAACCAAGAGACAGTCATCAGAACAGAGCAAGGAAACACTGAGTGGTTCACAATTGGGAAGGGCATACGCCAGGGATGTATCCTGTCTCCACACCTTTTCAACCTGTGTGCAGAACAGATCATCCGGGAGGCTGGGCTCTATGAGGAGAAATGCAGCATCAGGATTGGTGGAAGATCTGTCAGCAATCTGCATTATGCAGATGACACAACCCTGCTTGCTGAAACTGAGGA